GTGTGTGTGTGTGTGTGTGTGTGTGTGTGTGGGTGTGTGTTAGGCTTCCTTCAGTCCCAGGTCTCCTTTGCAAAAAAGATCTGATCTCAATTGGATTTGCCTGGTTAAATAAAGGTAAATAAATAAACTATAAAACAAAGTATTGTGTTACTTCAGTTAGGCTTCATGGTGTCAGGGATTAATTATTTAACGCTGTTAACATGTAGTGTTAAATGATTACTTCGTGTACAGACCGAGAAATATTTTAACACTTGGAAGACCGTTGGGGTAAAATCAGCCATACGTTCATTTTTCTGTGTTTTTATTCATTAATTTATTTTGGTGCAGTCAGTAAAGAAAAAATAAAATTATGACAAAGCCAAAAAATCTTTCAAAATTTTTAAATTTTGTCAGAATTGGTTCAAATGTTCTCATAACCTCACAGCAACTTTACTACACTCTTGTGTTCCTGGGGAGAAAAACTGACCACAGGGAAATCCCAATATAAATGCAATTTTTTATTTAATCCCATATGTATAGGATCATAAAATAATGCATTCCTCGCAGTAATCTTTTTTTAATTTTATTTTACCTATCCCTATACTTTATATTTTTATGTTAGCCCTCCTTTACATTTGAGAGCCTCTGTAAAAACCACTGACAGTTTTTTTAATCTCACCATAGCAGCAGAACCTCTCAGCTAAGCCTCGCTGCAGAGTCTCGCCTCTCGTCTCGTTTAACAAAATTATTTAAGTTGGAATGTAAAGAACAAAAACATTCAGCACTTAAAAGCCGTTCCACATGCATACAGGCTGCAGAATCAAATGCGCCACAGCTGAAAGTGTCTGACTGCCGTTGGTTTCCCCCAAAACACGTCAGTAGTGGTTGCACCGCGCTCCTGCAGTTCACTTGTATATCTGGGTCAATACAAGTGAAAAACAAATCACCAAGGGTAGAGTTGGAAAAAATATAAAGAAAATAATAATTCAAAACAAACAAACAAAAAAAACACGTTAAAAAACTTCCATGTCCGGCCACAGATGAGTCAGTTGGAACAAGGCCTCATTTCAGCTGCTGGATCTGAAGGGCTGGAGGGTCTTCACAAAACTCCAGGCAGGAATTTTAACAAATGTCAAAAAATCATTTTGGGTGTACTAATGAGGAAAATGCATTTTATTTGAAAAACAACAGTAAAATAAACATTTTGTTAATTGTTCGAAAAAACTGAAATCAAGTTCAAGTTTATTGTCATTGGCATCACATGTGGTACATGAGGCGGAATGAAATTATCCATCCATCATTTTAACCACTTCTTCCTTTTTGGTTCACTGGGTCACTGGTGCCCATATCCAGCAGTCACTGTGCGAGGGGTGGGGTACACCCTGGACAGGTCTCCAGTCCATCACAAGGACACACAGAGACAAACAACCATTCACTCTCTCTCTCTCACACCTAGAGACAATTTAGAGTTACTAATCATCCTAACATGCAGGTTGTTGATCTGTGGGAGGAAACTGGAGTACCTGGAGAAAACCCACGCATGCACAGAGAGAACATGCAAACTCCACTAGAATGGCCCCAGGCCGGGATTTGAACTGGGGCAACCTGCTCGTCAAGAGGCGTCAGCTCTACCAACTGCGCCACCGTGCTGCCCGAAAAACTGAAATGTGTTTTTTATTTTTTATTTTATTTTTTATTAAAGATCCTTAAAGAGTAAAAAAAAAGTATTGTATAAATTATTAAAATTTGATATTTCAGAATCAGAATCAACTTTCTTGTCATTGCACAGTTAAGTACAGCGAAACTATGTTCCATACAGCCGTCTGAAGGGTAGACGGAAGTGTCCCGGGGCTGCAGCTTCTATATGAAGCGCTGCCCTTTTTTTTTTTTTCCGGTTGAGAACGCTCTAAAAGACCCACCAGTTTTTTGTGTATTTTAAAATTAGTATTTTTAAGTAGTTAAATAAGGTGGTGAACACTGACTGAATAAAGATAAACGGACTTCCAGGAGTTATTGACACTTTTAGATGTATTTGAATGAAATCAGATTTGGGTGGTTGGAGATCCAGAGATGGACGCTGACCTCTGGTCCACTAAAGGTTCTGCTCAGAGCTGCTGGTTCTGTTGAAACGTGAGTTTCAAATGGATCTTTGATCCAGCCTCAGAGTAACATCAGTTCTCTTTTCATCAGACAAATCATTAAAAAGCGTGAACGATCTGAGCAGAGCGTGGGGCTTCAGCTGCATCGAGGTGCAGTTGTTCATCAGAGGTGACTGAAAGTTGCTGTAAAGGATTTTATTGATTACTCAGCATCTTGTCCTGAGCCCAACCCTCCTCCCTTCATCCCAGCTCGGTGTGGAATTTCACTCGCCTCCACTCCTCCCTTCTTCATATTTCACCACAGGAACCACACGAGTGAGCATGTAATTTATAATTTACACCTTTGTTTTCTCATCCCTCTATCATTTTATCCCTCCTCTCCTCCTTCGTTCCTGCTGCCAGCTGACTGTCTCCTCCCCAGATTTAATGCACGGCGTCATCATGACTCAGGTTTGATCCACTTCTCTTTTAGCTTTTATTATTTTGTCCTCCACCCATCCCTCGCTCTCTTTCCATGACTAATAAATTATCTTCTTCTCATTTAAACACAAATACAACTGACTTTATTTCTTTATGTAATTGTTAAACTTTTGATTTTTTTTTTTCAATTTTAACAAACAAATAAAGTTTTAGTTGGACTTTAACATCCATCCATCCATTCATCCATCCATCCCTCCATCCATCCTGTCTCACCAACATAGACGACCCCCTCCTTGGTCTTGGTGGCGGCCCCCTCCACTCCAGCCTTTGTCTTCTCAGCAGCAGCCACCACTCCATCCTTGGCCTTGGAGAATCCCTTCTTCATGAAATCCATGCTGCTCCTCTTCTTTAACCGTTGTCTGCTCTGTTTCCTCCCGTGTGTCCTCTGCTCCGCCTGCAGCGATCTGTTCTTCCTGCTAATGGATGAAGGAGGGGAGAAGGGTGGAGAAAGAGCATGGGGAGTGGGGTGGGGTGAGTCTTCCTCCTCTTCAGGAGGAGTGGAAGTGTGAGAAATAGAGATGTTGAGAGTAATGGAGGACTGAAATGTCTTGTTCATGTTGCACCACATACTGCTGAGCTCTTTATTTATTTATTTTTCATTTATTTATTTATTTATTAAATAATGCTGAGCTCTGGGTGACACAGCGGTGGCACAGTTAGTACAGCTGCTGCCTCTCAGCGAGAAGGTTGCCGGCTCAAATCCCAGTCCGGGACTCTTCTGGGTGAAGTTTGCATGTTCTCTAGGTGTATGCGTGGGTTTTCTCCAGGTACTCCAGTTTCCTCCCACAGACCAAAAACATGCATGTTACACTGATTAGTAACTCTAAATTGTCCCTATAGGTGTGAGAGAGAAAGTGATTGTTTGTCTCTATGTGTCCCTGTGATGGACTGGAGACCTGTCCAGGGTGTCCCCCGCCTCTCACACTGTGATTGCTGGATATGGGCACCAGTGACCCGGAAAGGAAGAAGCGGTAAAAGATAATGGCTGGATGGATAAGTATCACTACCACTCAATGTTACTCACTCCCGGTGCAATACTCTGTCACACAACCTGTGTAGTTTATGTTAGTTATGTGCAGTATACATAATGTGCATTTCAGCTTATATTACTACCTTGAAATACTTATTCCTACTAATTCATCCTACTTGCACTGTTATATTCTACCTTGTTGTTGTTTACTATTTTTGACCTTGTAGACATTATAATTTCTTTTCACTGTTTGGTACTTTATTTTGTACACTTATTGCATGCTGAGTATGTTCTTGTTTCTTTGTTCTTTGTTTTTAGCGAGTCAAATCGATTCTTCTCATACTGAAAATGTCATTGTACTGTGAACCTTTCAGGTCAGGTTCAGGTCTCTCTTGTAAATGAGTCCCCGAGGTTCAGTGCGATTAACCTGTTTAAATAAAGGTTGAATGAACCTGCATAATGATGATAGTGGACTTCAGGAAACAGAGTGGAGGTCAGCACTCCACCATCTATATAAACAACGCTGAGGTGGAGCAGGTCAGCAGCTTCAAGTTCCTCGGCGTTCACGTTACTGAGGATCTGTCCTGGACTTTACAAACAGACACTGTGGTCAAGAAGCCCAACAAAGACTCTACTTCCTAAGAAGACTAAAGAAGTTTGGTACAAACACCAGCATCCTCACCAACTTTTATAGGTGCACCATGGAGAGCCTGCTGGCACGCTGCATCACAGGGTGGTACGGGAACTGCACCAGCCAGAGCCGGAAAGCTCTACAGAGGGTGGTGCAAACAGCAGAGGACATCACTGGTAGCAGTCTCCACACCATCCAGGACATCTACCACAGCCCATGTCTGCATAAAGCAGCATCATTAAGGACCGCACTCACCCAGCACAAGTACTCTTCCTTCTACTACCCTCAGGCAGATGATACAAGAGTCTGCCATCACGTACAAAAAGACTAAAGGACAGTTATTATACACAAGCTGTCAGATTACTGAACTCTTCATAAATAACACTGAACAACTGGCAACAACTAACTAATAATCCAACCTCGCCCGTGCAATAACCTGTCACACTACCCATGTGGTATATGTTGATTATGTGCAGTATATATACATATATATGTATGTATGTAT